CGGCGGTGGCTCGTATCTTCGAAACTCGAATCGCCAGAGCTTATCGGGGATTGCTCTGTCCTTCATCACGACCGTGGCCTTCTTGCCTTCTTCGCAACGGGGAAACTCGTCCATCGGCCAGTCGGCCGGAATCTCAGCTCCATGATGCAAATCATGGCGAGTTAATTCCCTTTCCATGGTGATGATGACCCTGAGACTGTCATTTGACATGTTGTTGTCCGGAATCTCAGTGGAGACGATCAACGGAAGTCGTGACGGTGATGAAGGACTTAATTCTGCTTCAAGAAAGAAAGAAAGACGAACTTTCTTGATCAATTTTAACGCAGACTATGAGTAATAGTTTGATGCGAGAGAGAGTAACTAGTGAAGCTTTGCATATGAATACATGCATATATATATATATATATATATATATAGACGTTCTTTAAGTTTGTCACTGTGTAAACTGGTTGGATTTTCCGATTACTTGGCAATTATTGGTACTTGGCACGTACGATATATATCTTGCGCACAGAAGGGGAAAAAAAGAAAAAGAAAAAAAAAGCGTTACTAGTGAATAATAAATTGAAATATTGCAAGTACCTATTCCAAATATTTTAGGGTCCGTTCACTTCGTTGATTCGAGTTTATAATTCGAGTTAAGATGTGATTTTATGTGAGAGTTTTTTACTATAACAAAAAGTTAAATGTGACTGTTTCTGAGAACTTTTTACTGTAACAAAACTCAAATTATAAACTTGAATCAGTAAAATAAACGGGGTCTTAATTAAATAAATAGTGATTTGTGGGCCGTCAGAGACGTATATCGGGGGGGTGGGGAGGAAATCATAATACTACATTTAGCGAAACAACTATAAAAAATTATACATTAACTATTTTTCTATTTTATCTTATAATGCATAAAACTTGTAATTGAATTATTATATACTAAAGTTTTAAGATTTTAAACTTGTAAAAAAAAAAAAAAAATTTAATGGTTAAATAACCAAAAAAATGGTAATGTCGTTATTAGTTTGCTAAAAAGTCAATAATTCGATTAACTATATTCAATAGATGACACAATTGAAAATATGACATTTTTGGCGCTAAATTACCCCAAAATGATATGATTATTATTGCATTTGAAAATTTTTTCGCATTGGTTTTTTCATTTTGTATTTTCTTTTATTTTCATAATATCTAATTATAATTTTAATAAAGGATTAGATCAATTTGTGTGGGTGTTATGTGTTAATTATCGCAAATATTGATTAATCATTCTCTCAGTTTGTTTTAATTTTATATATTGGAATATTAGACTTTAAAAGATTTAACATTCATCTTTAACTAATTGTTTTCGTATTTTTTTAGTAAAATTACAGTAAATAATAAATTTATAAAACTAAATTAAGTAAATAGCATATTTAAACTATTTAAAGTAAATAATAATTTACCACGTAGATAATTAATTTACGACTCGTAAATTTTTTTTACTTACCTAGAATTTTTTTAAATTGTAGTAAAAAGAATATTTAGTTTGAAAAAAAATCTTTTCTCTAGTCGTAAATGAAATGTTTACACAATAAACTGCTATTTACTTCAAATAATTTTAAAATCTCCTATTTCCTTCCTCCTCTCTTTTTATATTATATTTAGTGTAATTTTTTTTATTGGAATTAAAAGGGATAAGGAGGGAAAAAACATAATTGGTAAAGTGATTAGTAAATTATAGCATATTTTTTAAAAATAGTAAATTATAGCATAATATGATATTTTAAGTTTTAAACATTATTAAAAACTCAAAAATACCCCTAAACTTCCTTTTCCACCTCACTCCTCCTCCTTAAACACCTATCTTTTAAGAAAATAGTAAATTATAGTATATTTTTAAAATAGATAGATTATAGTCAAGTCCACCATTACTGACGGCCGGCTTTGGCGACCGGAGACCATTTTCCGACAACTTAAGTTTTTCGTGTTTTAGTGATTATTTTCCAACTACCGTTTGACACTGTATTTACTGGTAAATACCATATTTACTTAGTATATACCGTATTTACTTAGTAAATACCATATTTACCCGAAAAGTCAACCACCGACTCTAGCAACCGTTTAACACTATATTTACTAATAAATATTGTATTTATCAATAAATACCGTATTTACTAGTAAATATCATATTTACCCAAAAATTCAGCCACCGACTTCGGTGAGCGTTTAACACTGTATTTACCAGTAAATATTGTATTTACTAGTACATATCATATTTATCTAAAAATTCAGACACCGATTTTGATGACCGTTTAATACTGTATTTACCAGCAAATACCGTATTTACCCAAAAATTCAACCATTAGATATCATATTTATCATATTCACTGTGAGGGAGTAAGAAACAAAAAAGAAAAACCCTAACAGTAAGGGTAAATTGGGAAATGAATAATAAAAATATGCTATAATAAGTTTTAAAACATATATTATTTTTATTTCAAAAATAGGTATTAAAAATGCTATTTAGTGCATTTTCCGGAATTAAAAAGGCCAAAGCCCAACTCGACTAAAAAAAAGGGTTAATGAAGTAAATTGTAGATTTTTAGTAAATAATTGAAGTCGAGACTGTAAAACTATTTGAAGTAAATAACAGTTTATCGCGTAAATGTTCTTATTACTACTAGTATAAAGATTTTCTTCCATGTAATTTTTTTTTTTTAACAATTGGTGAAAGATTTTTTTCCATGTAAATAAAGATTTTTTACCATGTCAATTATTTTTTACCAGTTGTAAATGATAGTTTACATGATAAATTGCTATTTCCTTTAAATAATTTTCAAACCTGTTATTTGTTTATTTTAGTTTTATAAATATGTTATTTACTACAAGTTCTAAAAAAAATAAAAAATAAAAAAACCAGCTTTTCATTTTGCAGTCTATCTCTTACAGCCAAAAACAATAATAATAAAAAAGTATTCTCTAGTCTTATAATTCATACGCGTATACTTCTTATAATTTTGATCTCTGTTACTATATGTAACTTGAAATTAAGTTGGGTATTGGCTTTCTATGAAACAATTGTGTCGATAATGTTAAGTAAGGGGATCAAAAATCATGAAGCTCTGGTACAATGTCATCATATGATTTCTTGTTTTGAATTGCATCCCATCTTAAACGAAATAACAGCATGTCTGAAACGAAATATAACATAAATTTTATTTAACAAATCTTAGCAAAAATAAATGAATAAACAAAGACCAGTATAGCATAAACAGCCCTAGAATTAAGGCAAACAAAAATTATCAACTTTTCCTTGTGTTTGAAAACACAATCAATTACAAATTGAAGATCATTGTTATGACTATATTAACATTCCCAGCACCATCAGAACAATCCATTCAATAAACCTTTCAAAGATAAGAACTACGAGCTATCTCCTTAAGAAAGTGATCATGATCAAGATAACATATTGATCAAGAAGACCAAAAGGATGACCAAAAGAGACATTAACAAAAGAGTATCAAGAACTTTGTTAAAAAATTAATAAATAAAAAAACCATATTTTGTTATTCTTCTTGTCTTGGTGGATTATCAGCCCAATGAAGATTACTGTTCATCTTCTGCGCGTTGATGGTGTACTCTCTTTCAAGCCGTCACTTGCATTGAGATCAATTATTTTGACAGCTTCAATAACAATATTATCACCAACTCTGAGAGTCCGATTCACAGCAAAAGCTCTCCAATCATCATTCTTGAGAAATTTATATTTAGAGCAGTAAAGGGATACTCGGTCGCTCATCGCTCTTCGAATCTCAAATCTCCAGAGCTTGGAAGGGATTACTCCGTCTTTGAGCACGACGTGGGATGACGTATTCCCGCCATTTTGCAGTGCGGTAATTAGTACTTTAGACGGAATTTAAACCCGGCGACATGATTAAGATGAGCTATTTTTTGATGCCCAGAATCTCAGTGGGGGATGGCAACGATCAATAGTAGTGGTGGACTAGATGCTGATGGTGATTTGAAGGAGTATTCTTCAAGAAATAAAGAGGAACAAGCGATCTTTATCAATAAGAGACTTCAGAAGAATTGCGATACCAGTACTGTTGTCACTTTAATACGTTGGAGAGAATTCTAGTAAAAAAAAATACGTATATATACGGCCTCGTTCACTTCGCGGATTCGAGTTTTCAATTCGAGTTGAGATTTAACATTTTCTGAGAACTTTTAACTGTAACAGAAAAAGTTAGATGTGACATTTTTTTAGAGCTTTTAACTGTAGAAACTTAAACTGAAAACTCGAATCGGTGAAATGAACAGGACCTGTAATTCTGCAAGAGGTTGGATTTTTTCAACTAGTTAGCAATAGTATTTGGTGATATTTTACATAGGAAAAAAAGAAAAAAAACAGACAAACATGATAGATATCAATAAAGTGATCACAAAGTTCAGAAAGTGATTATACTAAGCAAACGAATCTCTTTCTTTTTTTTAAAAACTAATTCTCCAATATACATGTTGATCATGTACTTGACAAAAGGTTTTATATTTTCATCTTCAAATTTATTATCTTAGAAATATACTAGTATTTTGTAAAAACTTTGATTTGTATTCTATTATACTAAATGAAAAAGTATGGTCAATTGATCATCTAAGATATGTTCCTTTCAAAGAAAGCAATTATAAAGAGAACAAAAATCTGAATAAACAAAAAACAAAGGAAAAAACGAGAAAAAGTATAACAACCAGGAGAGGAAAGGAATCATGCATAAGTTGTTTTTGTGCTAAGCAAGAAAGCTTTTCCGGCTGTTTCACTCAGTGTAGATTCACTCTCTCCTACACGCATTCTTTCCTTAATTTCATTTTCTTCATCTTGTGCTAAGCAAGAAAGCTTTTCCGGCTGTTTCACTCAGTGTAGATTCACACTATCCTACACGCATTCTTTCCTTAATTTCATTTTCTTCATCCACACTCATATTTATATATGACACTCAACTTATACTAGCTGTGTCAGTTAAACGAAAAAAAGAGTTCAGTGAGAGATGGCTTTTGCTCCTGCTCCACTAGTTCTTAGACCCAGCTTGTTCATCGTCATTGTTATAGCATCAGGTAATTATACTTCTCTCCCCGTGTCTCTTTTATCTTTTTTCCGTTCGGAAAAAATGTGATGTATCTTATCTAATGTGGGTTACATGCCAAGAAAATGGATCATATATATAGGTAATGTCTTAAGTCTGGCACTCATATAATGGGTGAATATAATTTTTCATATTCTCTTATAACATTGTCCATATGTATGTGTAAATATTCGGTTTGTTCAAGTGTAATGCTCAATATTATATGTGTCAGACTATATTTTTTAAATTTTAAAAAAACTGGAACGATGTTACACAGAAATACGAAAAAAGCGGTGCCGGACTAAGACATTTCCAATATTAGGGCATATATAGTTTCGAGTATGACATTATTGTAACTTTTTTTTTTCTTTTTCTCCTTTTGTGATCAGTAGGGGTACCTTATACATTATCCGAGAGTGCACGAGTTTTCACCGTTGTAAACTACTGCAAGGAGGCAATATGGCCAGCAATAACAAACGCTGAAAACATCACAGGCGGTGGCTTCGCTCTTAAACCGGGCCAATCCGCCGTCTACACCGCTCCGCTAGGGTGGCACGGTCGGATCTGGGGTCGGACAGGCTGTAATTTTGACAAGAATGGTAACGGAAAGTGTGAAACGGGCAGTTGTGGTACCTTGCTCAATTGCACCAGGCCCGGTGACCCGCCCACCTCAATTGCCGAATTTACCCTTGGGGATATAGATTTTTACGATGTTAGCCTTGTGGATGGCTTTAATCTTCCCATGGTTGTTAAACCTAATAGTAATGGTAAAGGAAATTGTAGCACCGCAGGTTGCGACGGCGACTTGAGGCAAAATTGCCCGCCGGAGCTTCAAGCTAAGGACGATGGGAAAGTCATCGCTTGCCGGAGCGCTTGTGATGTGTTCAACACCGACGACTACTGCTGTCGAGGAATGTTTGGAAACCCTATGACGTGTTTGCCTACAAATTATTCAAGAAGTTTCAAACAGTTTTGCCCTGCAGCATACAGCTATGCATACGATGATCGTACCAGTATTATTACATGCTCTGGAACGGACTATACTGTAAGCTTCTGTGGATCAAGGTATACTTACATTTTAAGCAAATATTATAACAGTTTTTAAGCACTTTTGCCATGTGAAAAAATCACGTTACAAGTGGTTAAAAATCATGATTCCTTTTCGAAAATTTATATATTTAACTAATATAAATGATGAAAATTGTGCATTTGAAATTCGTTTTAAAATGATTTTATTTTTTGTATGAAAATGAAAATGAAAACGTTTTTAATCTCAGACATAAATCATTTTTAAAAATGCGTTTGATAGTTTTATCAAGAGATTATTTTCAGTAAAAAAACCATTAATGTCTCTCTCTCTGCCCAAGAGAGGAGAAAACGAAAACAAAAAATGAAAAACGGCTAAAAGTCGTTTTTCATTTTTCTCTCATTTTACACTAAACCAAAAAATCGTTTTCATTTCCATTTTTTTGTCTTTATTACGCCAAACGCCGTTTTGAAAACGTTTTCATTTTTTCTTTGTTGAAAAACATGAAAAATAAAAACGGAATCAATTCCAAACACGGCCGTTATTTTTCAGTTGATGAAATGAAATGAAGTACACATTGCTATCATAACACAATTGTTGCTTGATTCTGTGGCACTAGAAAAGATGTTATGAAATATATAAACTAGATTTGATGATGTTGGATCCAGGAACCAGACAATGTGCTCATATCATGATAACAAGCTCGTTTGTAATGGATCGAAGAGCCTAAGAGCAGTTCTCTCACAGAAATGGTGGGGTTGGATATTGGCAATATTGCCCTTCATGTTGTTTATTGATTTTCACACAATTCCTTAGCAAAATCCATATAGTGTTAATAGTTTTTCCAAAACACTAAAAAATCAATTTTCCAAGTCTTATTGTAAAGCTGTTCATTATTTTAATTTAAGTTTGTTCTTTCGACGTCCATCCTCTATTATAAGTTTGCAAAAGTTCCAAAAGAAATAATCATGCAAAGGTTCTAATTTATGATGTACTGATCATGATGAGAACCTGACTAAAACTCGTTTATATATATATATATATATATATAGATAGATAAATGTCTGATTAAATGTCCGGCAAGTAACTCTATTGAAGAGTAAAGGGATGATTCCCCGCCTAAAGTAACGTTTTTTTTTCTCCTCAATGTAATGTATAATGAAGGCTAGCGCGTCAACGTTAGAACCGGGATTGGCCCAAGCTTGACCCCCTCTCAACTCAAACATGCAGCCCTAATGGCATGTTTATTTATCTGTAATCACAGTGGGTAGGATTCGGAATTGATAGGATTCAAAGTGGACATAAATCGGAGTCGTAATAAACTGTTTACTTAGGTTCCAGGAATCGTAGTCAGAATCAGTTCCAATCCCATTCATGCATATACTTACATCCAAAATCAGAATAAACTGTTATAAATTTACTTACATACCCTTTTAGTAGATTTTTGTGTTTTGACTTTTAAAAAAAAAAAGAAAATTGTATATTATGCTAACTATCTTAATATTAGGATAACTAATTAGTAATTAGGTGTAGTTAGATTTTTTTTAACTACACCTAATTTATCATCTAAATTACTTTTTCTCAATAAATCTTGAAATAATTTAAAGGAAAAAATATAATGATGAAATAAAATAAGAACAAAATAATTAATTTTTAAGTCATAAACTTTAAAAAAAAAGTTCGAAATCATAAATAGAAAAACATATCCCAAGCATAATTCAAAGTACAAACATTATAGTTATCTAGTAATGTATATAACCTGCCCTTTGGGAATGGTTTGAATGTCCACGAATCTTTGAAATGATGGTGCGATGAAAAATAAGTGAAGTAAAATACACTTAAGGGTCAAAACATGGTTTGATCACAGATTCAACAAATAAATACAAAAATAAATAAATAAATAAACCTGTGATTCAATAAAAAAAAAAAAGAACCATAATGATTAATGTTATTAGCTCAAAAGGGCGGAGGGATGCTCTTGGTTGGTGTGGAGACAATGATGTGTTTTGAGGAGAAGAAATATCAGAGGAAGTGATCGCAAGGAGATACGAGAGGCGTGAAAAGAATTAGGGCATTTTTTATTTTTCACTTTTACTTTTCTATCCACGAATTCATTAGTAGAATTAAGAGTAAAATCGTAATTTATATTTACTATCATAATTGGGAGTGCCAATTCGGTGGGGGTAAGGGGAGTGTCAATCCCATTTCTCAACTTTAAATTGGTGTGGGACCTACACATTTTCACTCCTATTCTAGAATAAAAATAGGTAATAAATGTGGGTTGATTCTGATTCTCCACTTTCATTCCTCACTGGTAAGTAAACATGCATTAGAAACAAACAATGTTTAGTTATGAGAAAAAAAAACGTGAAGAACATTTGAACAACAAAAATATTTCTCAATTTTATGTAAAAAATTGAAAATAATTTAAAATTAGGAAAATAAAAAACAATAAAAAATTACCAAAGAGTTCCTTTTTTGTTTCAAAAAGAAAAAAAATGTCTAACAAAAATGATTTATAATTAGACCTAAGCTAACAATATTTTATGTGTTCATATATTTGTATAACAAATGTAATAATTTAGAAAAAATACTCAAAACATTCCCTGTATTTGATCAAAACACCACATTTTCCCTTCTTATTATGCAAATGCCTAAATTAAAACATCCCTTGTGTTTATAAAAACATACCGAAAACAACTCCTGAAGTAATTAAATATTTTTTAAAATGCCATTATTACCCTTCCTAATCTATATTAAATGTTATTTTAGATATTATTTAACTAAAAGTAAAATATAAAAATATTTAAAATACTCAAATAAATATTCAAACAAAAAAATACTTCAACTATTATGAGAGTTTTTCATTTTTTAAGATTGAATTTGTTCAATACTTCGGTTTAATAATGTTTTAAATTGTATTTAATAAAGATTGAGAAAGGGATTCTTGGTATTTAAAAAAATAGTTGCTTCAAGGGGTATTTTTGGGCTGTGGTTTTATAAAAATAGGAGGTATTTTGAGTATTTACATAATTAAAAAAATGAATGTGGTACAAAACACGTGAGGTGTTTGGTTACGCCCAAACGTGTACAAAAATAAGCGGTCAATTGTAGTACAATTTGAACGGTCAATCCCACGAGGAAGTGTTAAATTGAACAAGAAATGATTAGCAAATAAAAAACGTTAGGAAAGTAAGCAATCAAACAAAGAAAAAGAATGAGTGTTTTTGATGATTTTTTGAACAATTTAAAATAGAGAAAATTCAATAGTTAAAAGTGGTAAGGCTTTGAGAATCCTGCATATGCTTTGTTCACCTATTTGGATTTTGATTCATAAATTGACTCAATTGAAAGTTTCACATCCCAAACAATCAATCGGAAAATAAATATTTGAAGAACATATGAATTAAAAATGTATTCGAGTAAATA